ATCCGTTGCCACTTGGTGGAAATCAACTGAGAAATACTACCACCTCACCAACAACAAGAAATCTGATAATCTTGCTCTCTCTCTTGGTGCTCAAGTTCTCGACGAGAATTACTCATTAGGAAAATCTCTCACAACCAACCAAATCATTAAACTCGCATCCAAAGGACAACAACAAAACACCATCAACGTTGTTCTAACAGCTTCCGATGTGGCAGTTGATGGTTTTTGTTCAAGTAGGTGTGGAACACACGGTTCTTCTTATGGTGCTCGCGTGAACGGGAAACAACACAAATTCGCGTACATTTGGGTTGGAAACTCTGAAACTCAATGTGCTGGTCAGTGCGCGTGGCCATTTCACCAACCAATTTACGGTCCACAAAGTTCACCATTGGTTGCACCAAACAATGATGTTGGTCTCGATGGAATGATTATAAATTTGGCAAGTCTTTTAGCTGGAACTGTAACAAACCCATTTGGAAATGGATATTATCAAGGACCAAAAGAAGCTCCATTGGAAGCATCTTCAGCGTGTACAGGTGTTTATGCAAAAGGGGCATATCCTGGTTATGCTGGAGATGTTTTGGTGGACAAAACAAGTGGTGCTAGTTACAATGCAAATGGTGTTAATGGAAGAAAGTATTTGTTGCCTGCAATTGTTGATCCTAAAACCTCAGCTTGCTCAACATTGGTATAGAGAAATACTACTTTGTTTGTTTTAGTCGTTAGGCAATGAGATATACATTCTTTGATTTGTTCATTCATTCGATTCATTTTTTACAATAAAATTATAGAAATATAAAACTGAGTTATGTTCAATGCTTATTAATCTTGTACTATGCAGCTTCATAACAATAGAATAAAATACCTCATTCACTTTGAATAAAGTATGTAGCTTTTACTATTATTCTCCTTATGTGAACCAATTAATTTATTGGACATTAATTTAATATAATCTTCACGCATGTCATAAATAATTGTTAGTTGTAAGTATTAGTTAGCAACAATTTTGGTAAAATAATGACTTGATGATGTTTTGTTAAATGTCTTAATATTTGAAGCAAAAACTGTTTTGAATGATGTTAAAACAGATGTCTTGACATCTGCCTCCTGAATTGAACTCCACCCAATATCAATTTAAATTTTTCTGTTTCCTGATTTCCTGCGCACCATAATTCAAGATTTGTGACTCATAGGCTGCGAAAAATATGGAGGAATATTTTTCTATTTGAATTATCTTTATAGATTATATCTTGGCCTGTTTTCATGGAAATATTCAAAAGATTTGAATATTTGTTTTTCAACCCAAACCCACAGCTGCACATATATAAGGCCCTGCTTTCTTATTCAGACTATTGCAACTTTTGAAGAAGAATATCTTCTTTCTGTTTTAGAAGTCTAAGTCTTTTAATTGTCAAACACTCTAGTGTTGATTTAATACTTGTGTTGTTATTTGGATTGTTAATTGTGTATCATTCATAAGCTTTTAAGCATTGAATGATTGAAGTTTTTAAACTTATTATTCTGTTGTTTCTCCACTGTAAGTGATTGAAGGAATTTGAGGAGGGCCTCATACCTAGGTGAGTCTTAGGTAGAAGTATAGCACGGGTAGTGATTAAGTTATTAGATCGTAAACTGGTTGTTTACTAAGGGTCTATGAATTGATATTATTTAGTGGACTTGTCCATGGCTTGGTAGCCCCTAGATTAGGTGTTATTGTATATTGAATTGGGTTAACAATCCCTTGTGTTTTTTACTGCATTTATTATTGTTGTACTTTACTTTGTTCCTCAGATATTTGTGTCGTGACATCTCATTTGACATCACATATTTGATACCAGAATTTTAATTGGTATCAGAGCAGACATCCTGCTTTTTATCTGGGTGAGATCCAGGGAAGATACTTTATGGTACTATGGACAAGGAATGAGGATTTGTAAACAGACCACTCATTCTGGATGGAAGTAATTATGACTACTAGAAACCACGTATGGTTGCCTTTTTAAAGTCTTTGGACAACGGGACTTGGAAAGTTGTTTTAAAGGATGGAAACACCCTGTCAAATTGAGAGAAAATGGAGAACATACTTCTGAGTTAAAACCAGAAGAAGATTGATCTAAAGAAGAAGATGAAATTGTTCTTGGAAATTCTAAAGCCTTGAATGCTATATTCAATGGAATGGACAAGAATGTTTTCAGATTAGTGAACACATGTGAAGTAGCTAAGGATGCATGGGGAACTCTTCAATCTACTCATGAAGGCACATCCAAAGTTAAGATGTCAAGACTTCAGTTGCTCACCACAAAATTTGAGAATTTGAGAATGAAGGATGATGAAAGTATTAATGACTTCCATATGAACATTCTTGAAATTTCTAATGCATCCAGTGCTTTAGGAGAGAAAATACCTGAAGAAAAATTGGTGAGAAAGATGCTCATATCTCTTCCCAAGAGATTTGATATGAAAGTGACTGCTATAAAAGAAGCTCAAGACATTGACAAAATGAAAGTGGATGAACTTGTTGGATCCCTCCTGACATTTGAATTAAGCATCAATGAAAGATTTGAAAAGAAGAACAAAAGTATAGCCTTTGTATCAAATACTGAAGATGAAGAGGAAGACTGTGATCTGGATACAGATGGAGGAATATCAAATGCCTTAGCTATGCTTGAAAGACAGTTTAACAAAGTGATAAAAAGAATAGATAGGAACCAAAGATCAAATGTCAAGAACATCTCATCTGACACCCATAAGTCAAATGAGTTTGGAAGAAAAAGGGCTGAAGAAAAATCCACTCAAGGGAAGGGAGTACAATATCATGAATGTGAAGGCTTTGGTCACATTAGAGCTGAATGTCCTACATATCTTAAGAAACAAAAGAAGAATATGTTTGTTACTTGGTCTGAAGAGGACTCAGAGAGTGATATTGAAGAATCTGCCAAGTATGTTAAAGCATTGACAGAAAAATATGTATCTGATGAAGAGTCTAGTGATAGGGAACTAATCTTTGATGGGTTAGTTGCTTCATACAGAGAATTGTGTCTCAGAAGTCCAGAAGTGTGCCTTGAAGGAGAGAAACGGAAAGTCTTCATAACTCAACTGAAGGAAGAAAGGGAAGAGCATTTAAAAACTATTTCTAAACTATAAAGTGAAGTGACCTCCTTGAATTTAAACCTTGATAGAATGGTCAAATCTCTCAAGATGTTGAATAATGGGTCTGACACTTTAGATCAAATTCTTCAAGCAGAAAGAGTGACAGGAGACAAGAGTGGTCTAGGGTTTAATGAGAAAAAGGAACCAAATTCTAAAGAACCTTCAGTAGATTCCACTCATGCCAAGTCTAAATCAAGGATGTCGAATCAAATGTCTAAACATCATGGCAAGAAAGGACATCATGGCGAGAAAAAGTTTAATCACACCAAGGAGAATCCCCAGCCCTGGAGATGTCATCCCTGTGGAAGGCTTGGTCATATAAGGCCCTTCTATTTCAAGTTGTATGGGTATCCTAAGACTACTCCTCCTCCTAAGACTGATAAGATTCCACAAAATAGAAAAAAGAAGAAACAGTGGATTCCCAAGTCTAATGCTGCTAGTTTCATAGCTCACACCTCCCTCAGAGTATCAACCAAAGATGACTGGTATTTTGACAGTGGTTGTTCTAGACACATGACAGGTGTCAAGAATATGTTGGTGGATGTCAAATCTCATTCCACCAGTTATGTGAATTTTTGTGATGGAGAAAAAGGTGAAATCAAAGGTGTTGGCAAGCTTGATTATTCAGGAGTTCCTTAGCTTGATGATGTGTTACTTGGTAAAGGGTTAACAACTAACCTGATAAGTATAAACCAATTGTGTGATCAAGGATTCAAAGTTAACTTCATCAAGGAAGAATGTCTCGTGTGTAATGAAAAGAATAAAGTTATTATGAAAGGAAGCAGATCTAAAGATAATTGTTATCTATGGGTTCCTCAAGAGTTGAACCTCTCCTCAACATGTGTTTTAGCCAAAGAGAATGAAGTTAAACTATGACATCAAAAATTGGGGCACTTGCATATGAAAGATATGAAAAGAATTATATCTGAAGAAGCAGTGAGAGGGATTCTTAATAGGGATGGCAACGGGTCGGGTCGGGTGCGGGTTTCACACTACCCACACCCGCACCCGAAATCATCACCCGAACCCGAACCCGAACCCGAAGGCTATTCGGGTGACAAAATCACACCCGTGCCCGCACCCGTTGGGTTCGGGTTTTTTCACCCAAACCCAAACCCGCACCAAAAATCAAAAAAAAAAATTACAATTAAAATAAGGTCTCTTTACATTGTCTTCAAGAAAATGCAATCACAATTATCTTAACATAGTCTTCAACATCTTAACATTACAATTAAAATTAAATTCTACAATCAAATTACAACTTTTCAACAACAACAAGCTAATATATTACAACTTTCTTGTGTAAGATTAGATGTTCCTTCCGGCTCCGGAGTTGTGTTCACTTGATCTATTTTACCTATTACAAAGAAAATATATTTCACATGTTAAGAAACACTAATAGATATTATCATCATAATTTTAAATTGTAATAACAAACATGTGAAACTTAAAACATATAAAACATGTAACTTAATTCTTGGTAATGCTGAACTTTTAAATTGTAATAAGAAGAATCCTTTAGACCACTTCTTGATACATACAGAGATGTAATAGCTTACAACACAGATAACATATCGCTTTTAAATTGTAATAATTTTAACATGCCATATTCTTGATAATTTATCATGTTTGCAACTGGAATAAAACTGCCTATAATAATGTTTATCTACTAACTTTCAGCATGCTTGCATGCACGTTAAATATCATGTTTTTGAACTGTCTAGAAACATAAGCACAACACTAAAAGAACTGTCTAATATCAAAAGCATTAGTGCAAATTAGTCGGGGCAACAATGGTGGAAGATAGAAACAATAATACTCACCATGTTAACATATAGAAACAACAACTTCTAATCTTCAAAATGGTAACCCAAACAACCTTCCATCAACTCAACTGTATTAACAAATAAATTGATGTTAAATAAAACACTAAAGCTTAAAACTTCTACACCAAATGAAGTACAAAATACCTTCATCGTCTGACTCCATTTCATTCAACACAGTAGCAATTTCTTCTGCAACTCTAAAAATTCCTATATATATTATATAACAAGAAAAATTAGTAATATATTATTTACCAATGACATACCAAAGTAGTAATACATTATATAACAAAAAAATTAAGGTAGAAAGTAAAAATAATTTGACAATGACATACCGTTATTCTCAGCAGCCCATAGCCAACTCCTAGCACACATCAAAGCCTCTACGGTAGTCCAGTTAAGTCGGCTATGATGAGGACTCAATATTCTACCACTATTACTGAAGGCCGATTCAGAAGCTACTGTAGAGATAGGAATAGCTAACACATCTCTTGCAATTGCTTGAAGTGTTGGATACACAACTCCATTTACCTTCCACCAATTCAAAATGTCAAATTCTGGAGTATTTTTTATAACTGGCTCTTTCAAATAATGATCTAACTCATACTTAACACTTGAACTTGAGTCTTCGGCAATGGAAATTGTCTCAACGTATGCATCAAATTCAGCCTCGTCATCAATAATAGCAGTTGTACCAATGGATGGAGCAGTAGGTTGTGCATCTCTAAGTTTAATCTGTTGATAATCATTGAGCAAATCATAACACATGTATTTGATTCTACTAACTTGTGCACTTGATTCTTCTCCATACAACTTAGGAAACCAGAAATTAAGTACAACTATCTTCTTCCTAGGATCCAAAACTGCAGCAACTCCCATCATATCATGAACACCACTCCAATAATTTTGAAATTTTTCCATCATTCTTGTGGCCATCATCTCAATAATTGAATTGGAGGACTTCTTCCATTCCTCTATTGCCAACTTAATCTTACAAATCTTAGGAAAGTACAAGTTGGCAGTTGGATATTTTGTACCAGAAATCAACTCAGTTACTTCATTAAATAATTTTAAGCACCCACAAACATCTTTAGCAAATTGCCATTGTGAATTAGATGGAAGACAAGTGTACAAAGACTCACGTTGCTTCAACCGAATAAATACATCCTTGTACTCTATGGCAATATCAAGCATCTTATATGTGCTATTCCATCTTGTTGGACAATCTAGAGCTAACTTTCTAGTGCAAATAATTATCAATTGTCTAGCGGTATCTTCAAATTTTTCACACCTTTTAGGTGCAGCACTCCAAAATCCTACACTATCCCGAATATTTTCTATGCCATCCTTAATCACTTGTAGCCCCTCCTAAACAATTAAATTTAGGATGTGCTCACAACAACGCATATGTAACGAAGACCCATCCCTTATTAAACATTCCAACGACAACTTATCCTTAATTTTCCTAATCATTGAGTCATTTGTGCTACAATTATCTAAAGTAATCATAGAAAGCTTTGAATCAATGTTCCAGTCCATTAAATAATTAACAAGTGCTTCAGCAAGTCTTTCACTAGTGTGAGGGGCTGGAACATAAATGAACCTAACATAATATTTACAAAAAACAAGTCTTTCACTTATTGTCATTAAGAACAAAAAAAAAGATACAATTAAGTTATAAAATATAAACATTGTTACCTCAAGATTTGACTCTGTAAAGTCCACGAGCCATCAATATAGTGAGTCGTAACCGCCATATACCCTTTTTTTTGGTTGCTTGAAGTCCACATATCTGTGGTAATTGCCACTCTCCCTTCATGGTTATCTAACATCTTCATAGCACATTTTTTCTCAAAATCATAAACTTTCAATACCTCCTTCTTGATTGTGTTTCGAGTAGGAACTTTAAACAATGGTTGGAGAGAAACAAAGACTCTTCTAAGACCAATGTGATCCACAATTGATAGTGGATAATCGTGCATAATAATAGCTTCAGCAATCAACTTCTTCACATGTTCTGGATCATAAGTTCCAATTCCCAACTCTTGCTTTCCTTCTGAGATAGTCGGTAGGAGAAATGGTTGTCCTTTGTCATGGTTTCTAGTCTTGATCTTTTTTTGAATACAACTCAAGAGATGTCCTTTCAAGTGATTTGTTCCATTCTTTGAAGTGCCACTAAGTTGTTTTTTACACCAGATGCATTCAGCCTTATCTTTTCCATTCACTTTCATCTTTTTAAATTCTTGCCACACATTACTTCTAAGTTTCTTTGATGCGGGTTCTAAAATTGTATCAATTTCTTCTTGTTGCCCAATATCAGGTTTAGGTGTCGGATTCGGATTAGAAGATACCTCCTGAGTTGGACATGTACTTTCTTGTGTAGGATTAGATGCTCCTTCTGGTTCCGGGGTTGTGTTCACTTGATCCATTTTACCTACTACAAACAACAAGAAATTTCATAAACAATTGTATAAAAGAAAATGAGACTTTAAGAAGGCACGAAAAACATACCACCACAAGATTCATAATCGCAAACACCTTAACATTCATACAAAGTTTAAAAAATAAATTAAAATGATAAAAACTATTATTGATAAAAGCTATTATTAAAAGTAATGTTTTTAAATGAGACAACATGGTTTTGTTTCAAATATGAAGTTATATCTCTGTTTTTCAACTGTCAAAGATTCACAGTTCAGCAGCAATGGGCTATGATCCGAGTGCGATGCGAGGAGATTCCACAACTTTGCATTTGAAAACCGACTACTGCTTGACAGAATCCATTACAATCGCTTACCGCTTGACAGAAACCTGGTGCCATCTCAATTGCTAGACAACTTAATGATTGACGAACGAGCAAAATTTTAAGATAATGTTGTTATGAACCCTCCTCATCAACATTTTAAACAAAAACGTCCTCCTTGGACATATCAATGAAGTCAACCAAGGAGAGCACCAATTTACTAAGCAAATTTTCCTCCCAAACCAGCAAACTAAGCTGCCATTCGAAGTCACTAACCCACACCCCATCAACCGGAGACCCCATCATACCAACCAGTTGAAACTGCTACTGAGACAGGAAACGATTTCCCAAATAACAAAGCTATATGAAATAATTGAAATCAATTACTAGCACTGCTGCGATTAAAAATATAAGTTTCAAATCCATATTCAGATCTAATTACGAACCCTAATCATATACACATGAAGAAAAGAGGTTCTTCATCGCCATCATAATTTCAATGCAGCTTATATTCAGAACTTGTCCCACAAAACATGGAGGAAACTATTTATTAATAGTTATGGATGAGTGATTCATGTACCTTTGGAGAATGGCGAGAAGAGGATTGAATGAAGAAGATGACGGAGGAGTTTGTAGGCGCCGGTGAAGAGGCGAAGGAGACGGAGAAACGAACTAACGAAGGTGATGGTATGACGGAGGTGACGAAGGTGACGGAGGTGACGGAGGTGACGATGGCGGTGGCCGGTGGGTGAACTGAAGTGAGCGTGAACTTGAAAGTTGAATATGTGGCGTGGCGTGATGTACTGAACAATAAACCCTACATTTTATTTTTAATTATTGAAATATATATATATATTTAGGGATAGTTTTATAATTTAACATATAAGCGGGTGTGGTTTCGGGTTTCGGGTGCGGGTTTAAGCTATCCCAAACCCACACCCGAAATATCGGGTGGCACCCGAACCCGAACCCAAACCCAGTCAATTCGGGTTTCACCCGTTGACTCGGGTGTGGGTGCGGGTGGGGCCCGCAAGTTTGGGTCTGCTTGCCATCCCTAATTCTTAAGCTCAAGATAGAAGAAGGAAGGGTATGTGGTGACTGCCAGATTGAAAAGCAGACTAAGATGTCACATCAGAAGATCCAACATCTTACTACATCAAAAGTTTTGGAAATTCTTCACATGAACTTGATGGGACCTATGCAGGTTGAAAGTACGGGTGGAAAGAAGTATGCCTATGTTGTTGTAGATGACTTCTCTAGATACATATGGATAAGTTTTATTAGAGAAAAATCAGAAACTTTTTAAGTGTTTAAAGATATCTGTCAAAAAATTCAAAGGGAAAAAGATAGTCATGTCATCAGAATTAGAAGTGATCATGGAAAGGAATTTGAGAATAACAAATTTGCTGAGTTTTGCTCTTCTGAAGGAATCGGCCATGAATTCTCTTCTCCCATTAGTCCTCAACAAAATGGGATTGTGGAACGCAAGAACAGAACCCTTCAAGAATATTCCAGAGCCATGATTCATGCTAAGAAGTTACCCTACCATTTTTGGGCTGAAGCTATGAATACTGCATGTTATATCCATAACAGAGTCACTCTAAGGAAAGACACTTCAGCCACCTTGTATGAAATATGGAAGGGAAGAAAACCAATTGTTAAATACTTTTATATTTTTGGAAGTAAATGTTACATCTTAGCTGATCATGAATAAAGGAGGAAGATGGATCCCAAGAGTGATGAAGGAATATTCCTGGGTTACTCTACAAATAGCAGAGCTTACGGAGTTTTTAACTCCAGAACCAAAGTTATGATGGAGTCAATAAATGTTATTATTGATGATAGAGGATGGAATGTTGAAGAAGATGTCTCAGAAGATGTTGGAACATCTTTGTCTAATATTCCAACAGAATCAAATGACAGAAGTATTGATTCTAATCCACCTCAAGAAGATCCTGAGCCTAGTCATCTCAATAAAGGACCTTCAATTAGAACCCAGAGAGACCATCCTAAGGAGCTAATCATATGAGATATAAATAAAGGAGTTACTACTAAATCAAGAGATGGGATATCAAACTCTTGCTTTGTGTAAAAAATTGAGCCTAAGAATGTTAAAGAGGCACTAATTGATGAGTTCTGGATTAATGCTATGCAGGAAGAGCTAGAAAAATTCAGTAGAAATGAAGTTTGGGATCTAGTTCCAAGACCTGAAGGGACAAATGTGATTGGCACTAAATGGGTGTACAAGAATAAATCTGATGAAGAAGGGGTGGTCACTAGAAACAAGGAAAGGGTAGTTGCACAAGGGTACACACAAATTGAAGGAGTTGACTTCGATGAAACATTTGGTCCCGTGGCCAAACTTAAATCAATCATACTTCTCTTGGGAGTTGCATGCATACTGAAATTTAAATTGTTTCAAATGGATGTAAAGAGTGCATTCTTAAATGGATATCTAAATGAAGAAGTCTATGTGGAACAACCAAAAGGATTTGTTGATCCAAGTTTCCCTAAACATGTTTACAAACTGAAGAAAGCTTTGTATGGAGTAAAGTAAACTCCAAGAGCTTGGTATGATAGATTGATAGAATTTCTTAGTGAGAATGGATACAGAAGATGAGGCATATACAAAACTAATTTTGTCAAGGAAGAAGAAGGGAAGATCATGATTGCACAGATTTATGTTGATGATATTATGTTTGGTTGGATGTCAAATGAGATGGTTCAACATTTTGTCAAGCAAATGCAGTCAGAATTTGAGATGAGCCTTGTTGGTGATTAACCTGTTTTCTTGGTCTGCAAGTTAAACAAATGGAAGATTCCATATTATTATCTCAGAGCAAGTATGCTAAGAATATAGTAAAGAAGTTTGGTATGGAAAATGCCAGTCATAAAAGAACTCATGCTCTCACACATCTGCAGTTTTCTAAAGATGAAAAAGGAGTAAGTGTGGATCAAAGTCTTTACAGGAGTATGATAGGCAGTCTTCTATATCTCACAGCTAGCAAACCTGACATTGCCTTTGTTGTAGGGGTGTGTGCAAGATATCAAGCTGATCCTAAAGTTAGCCATGTCAACCATGTGAAGAGGATCCTTAAATATGTGAATGGGACAAGTGACTATGGAATGTTATACTCTCATGGATCCAGTTCTGCCTTAATTGGTTATTGTGATGCTGATTGGGCAGGAAGTGCTGATGATAGAAAAAGTACATCAAGAGGATGCTTATTTCTGGGAAATAATCTTATATCTTGGTTCAGTAAGAAGAAAAATTGTGTGTCTCTGTCCATTTCAGAGGTTGAGTATATTGCTGCAGGGAGCAGTTGTTCTCAATTGGTTTGGATAAAACAAATGTTAACAGAATACAATGTCAAACAAGATGTCATGACATTATTCTCTGACAATCTAAGTGCCATAAACATATCAACGAATACCATTCAACACAGCATGACCAAACATATTGATATTCTTCATCACTTTATAAGAGAGCTTGTTGAAGAAAAGATTGTTGCCTTAGAACATGTAGCCACTGAATTGCAACTGGCTGACATTTTCACCAAGGCTTTGGATGCTAATCAGTTTGAGAAATTAAGAGGAAAATTAGGGATTTGCCTATATGAGGGTTTGTAACAATTAAAGGCGTGTGGAAATATCATTAAAGTGATATTATATTATTTATATTTCCAAAAAATCAAATTTAGAAAATAATCATTTCAAGACAGTCTCAAATTGGTTTCCACACGCTACGAAATCACATATCTCTACCTTCACAAACTCTTCATTCTCCTCTACAGAAAAAGAACCCTTGTCATTCTTCATCTCCTTGCTAAAAAATCTTCAAAGACGTCTCAACATCATACATCGTCTTCCTCAAAATCTGTCAACCTCCCTGAAAATCCATCCCTTGACAGAGTACTTGATGCTACTCCTCTAACAACCATCCAACCTCTTGATAAAAAGGTCAAGAAACCCAGATCATCACCTGCAAAGAAATCCAAAGATGATAAAGGCAACTCTTCTATTGCTACTGAAAAAAGGACATAAGAAGAGATTGTTAATGTTGATAGAAGCATCTGAAGGCTAGTAGACAGAGTATTAAATGAAGGCTTTGTTGTGCCTGGGATTTCTACTCCTCTTGCTCGCATGCCTCCTCCGGATGACAAAGGAAGTAACCCTAAAAGTGTTGTTGTTGAATCATCCACCTTCAAGAAAGATGATGCTGAAAGCAAACTTGAAAAGCTTGCTATCCTTGCTCTAAAGGAAGTGGAAGAAGAAAATGTTGAATAAGATGTAGAAGAGAACCCTCCTTCTAAGTAAGATGCTGCTGCCTCCAAGGATGTAGAAGGTAAAAATGCTGAGAATGTAGTTAATGTAGATGAGCTATCTGACAATGAGCTCATTACTAATGTGGTTCCTAGTATTGCAAGAAGGCTCAAATCCAGGAAAGTGAAAGATGCAAGTGTCACACCCCCTGCGAAGACAACCAAGAAGAAAATCATGTATGGACCCCCAAATCCCGGAAGTAAAGTAGTTCCTCCCTCTAGAAAAAGAAAAGCTAGACCTGATAGCTCCACAGATGATGATGATGATGATGATGATGATGTAAAAAGATCTAAAAGTAAGAAAGTTATGGTTGTTGAAGAAACTGACTTTGAGTATGATGTCGAGCAAGATGTCCAGGACATC